CCAGGGGGCCCGCCCCCTTTTTGTGGAAAAATTTGGTTGAGTATATGGGAAATCACTGAAGCATGACTGGATCGGGATCCGCCACTGAAAGTATCTATCTATCGTTTATAGTTTTCGAAAAATAAATTATCATGAAAGAGTAAGAACTCCAATTAGTAAAATTAGTCATTTATGGGCATAACTTCTATAAGAAGATGTCATTTAGTTTTAATGTCAATGAACAATAGGTAGATCTCATTATTCTGAACATTTTTTTTAACCCCTGTCAGATTTTCTTTATTCATAGACTATTTTAAGATAATATACAATACTTGGTTGACAGGCGGGGTCATCGGACATATTTTAAAAACTGACGAGTGTGACCGAGAAGTTTCAGAGAGGCAGATTTTTGTAAAAGTTAACGGTTGACGACGGACGCCAAGTGATGAGAAAAGTTCACTTGGCCAGATGAACTAAAAATGAATGTCATCGATATCCTTTTTTGTTATTGTTGCTTATAAAGTTAAATTGCCGTCTATACATATTACTGACTTATTCACGCGAGCCTTACATATTAAAGACATCGTAATAAGATAAATGTGTCATTATGTTTGACTATGATTTAACATGATATTTTATATTTTTCCGAATTGAATTTAAATTTGTTAGCTAAAGCATTTACTAAGATAATATTTTACGTCTGAATAAATATGTATAAATTGACGCCTTTCTAAATATTACAAATTGAAACATTATTAAACATTTTTCAACTGAGTATGAAATTAATAAGAAAAAAAAATCAGATTATTTTTCTAAACGGTCCTTTCTACATAAGGAAATGCCTGTACCAAGTCAGGAATATGACAGTTGTTTTCCATTCGTTTGGTGTGTTTGAGCTTTTAATCTTGCCATTTTATAAGGGACTTTCCGTTTTGAATTTTCCTTGGAGTTCGGTATTTTTGTTATTTTACTTTTTTTTGGAAAGTATTTTGGTATTAGACTTTAAACACATTTATTATGATAATGGAATTAATAATTAATTTTATGTTGGTTGAACTGTTCTTTTTTTTTATTCTGATTTGTTTTTATAACGATAAAACCGTAGCCGTTATTCTTTTTCTGTTTGGGGTATTTTTCTTTGTGATATTTTTATTTTTATTATACATGTACTTCCATTATGAGTATATAAAGTTGCATCATCTTTGCTTAAGATAGATTTCTATATAGCATTTCACTACAAGATGCATAAAGTTAAAGAAGATCAAATTCGAAGTTTCAATTACAGCTGAATTCAAACATGAATTATGTATTTGGTCATCAGAGAATTTTGGGGTGAGATCAGACCATCCATTTGGTGAATTTTATCAGTTCTTTTGAATTTTCATATTTCACTATCATGTAACCAATTTTTTCATCTAACACATTGAATTACATTTTTGTTATTTTTATGCCAAATTTGTGACAGAGATTTTATTGTTTTTAGCTACCATTGGTTGAAAAAAGAAGGAATATACCAAAGAAGGAATCAAAACCATAAGTCGATTGTAGACAAACAACATCAAAAAAGAAAAAAAAGACGAAAATAAAACAACAAATCGTCCAAAAAATACTGCAAAGAAAGCTAAAGCTAAAACCTTACCGAAACTCGGGGGTAAACTCAGGCACCCCGTAAGATGAATAAATGTCTGCGCGACTATTTGTACTCGTCGAGTCTCCAATCTAGAGCAAACAGCATGTGGTAAGTCACTCGGTGCATGGTGTCATTAGCGAGAGACAGAGGACGGGTTGTGGCTTAAACAATCATACATATCCGTGGTCACCTGCGTTACTTGTTTGTATTACGATCTCTGCAGTTTAAGAAATCAATTTTTAGTCTGAAAATCTTTGCGGTTGTATAGGATTTCATAGCTCTATTCTCATGAAAGTCTTTAATCCGCCTTGTATATTAAGAAAATTACCAAATGCTTAAACAGGTGTAATTTCGGGCTATTACTATTATAATATTATTGTATTAGTAATCCTGTATGTCTGTTTTTGATTGATTTTTTGTTGTTTGCTTTATGTCCAGTGCCAAATATTTCGTGCTTGTTCAGGACGAGAACACACAAGCAACTAACACAATAGGTAGGTCATGCAATAGGGGTTTGACCGTCCTGAGGGGCGGGAATTTTGACTTTTTGGTGTCTAATGGACATATTGAGAACAGGCCTGTTGAGGTTTAGGAAGTTATTCCGCTCGACTATTGGTTTTTTATGCTATTTCGAGCTGAAAGTTTAAACATTGACAGGAAGCAATATACTTATATCATATTTTGACATTGCACAAAGTCATTCGTTTAGCAGACTGTTAATTGAAGTCTTTACATTAAATCCTTTGGATGTGTACTGATTGACACTATAGTCTTGGAGAACTTGATTTATTTATTAGCTGTACTTGACTTTAAACTAGCTTTCAGTAACTACGAGTGCTAATTTTTTTGGTGTTTTGTTTCTATTGTTTTTATGTTAGTTGTTGTGCCTCGTATCGATCTTTTGAGTTAAGCCAATTGCTACTGATTTTTACAGTTTGTTCTTATGTTGTGATATTACGCCACTGTTTCAGGTTAAGGGAAGGGTTTTGGACAAACAAACATGTTTAAATCCGCCATATTTTTTATGTGTCTGTCCAAATTCAGGAGCCTGTTGTACAGTTGCTGTCGTTAATTCATGTCTGTCGTATTTGTTTTTCGTAAATTGTTTTGTTATAAATTAGGTCGTTGGTTTTCTCGTTTGAATTGTTTCTTTTTTTCATATCGGTGATATTTAAAGCCAACTATACAGTATGGGTTTTTCTCATTGTTAAATTAAGGACGTACGGTTGTCTACTATTGCTTATACCCACTTCATTTGAAGTCTGTGGATAGTTGTCTCATTTGCAATCATACCACATCTCATTATTTCTATATTAATAAATCTTTCCCTGTATAGAGTTAAAACTCGGATTAAATTATTAATCTGTTTGAAAATAAATATACCAAATGTTTTAATTGAGATCGATAAAAAAAATAACTGCATAAAGGTTCATGACCTGTTGAAAAGGTCCATTCGTTGAATAGCATGATTAAATCTTATTTATTACATTATGAATGAAATCTTGTTTGTCGTACACAAATGAAGATATACTTAAATATTAATCTTTTCGACCTTGATTTCAAGTAAAAAAAAATAGCCTCATTGTAATTAAAGATTGTTTGTTAAGTCTGTTAACGTGCAAAAATCGGAACGAATTCACCGTAATTGAATTATCTTTTTCTACATAATTAAAAGCAGGCCAGCTAGGGAAAAGTAAAAATGTCATTTACCTGGTGTTTTTTTTATTTTTTAAGTTAAAAATCCAGTCCTATATTATTTACTAAATTCTTGATTACTTACAGACATCGTGATAATAGAACTGTGTAATAATTCTGTTTGACTTTGATTTAACATGTTGTTTTATAATCTCCTAATTGATGTTAAATTTGTTAGCTGGTCTATTCACTCATTTACCCGGATAAGATTTCGCCTTACGTGAAATAAAAACGATTAGCGCTGTTCCAATGCAATCTACTATTATGCAGATTTTAGAAAGTCCTGTTAGAAATATTGGGCATTACATTTTTTTCTGTTAATTTTTAATAAGTTAAATGAAATCATGTTTACACGAAATCTCAACTTTAAATCTTGTTCACTATAACATAAATAGTTGTTTTTGTTGGGGTTTACTTTGAGTTTTTTTTAATCATGCTGCCTTTAGAACATCACAGTTTTATACAGTTGTTACGAATTTGTTTATTTAGTAATTAATAGTCTTTCGCGAATCAGAAGTTAACACTACAGCTATATATTGATACACGATTCCAAAATTTGACATTAAAGTATGAAGTAACACCGTCCATTTCGCTCTTTTTATCCATTTATTTTTATAATGTCTATTTCATGCTTTTAATCCATCTTTTAATGTACTTTCATGCTCACGATGTAACATTGAATGCAAATTTTGTTATTTTCATGCAAATTTTAAATAGTTACATTTAGTTGTGCCGCAAAGAAGCTGTTGCATTGCAGATAAAACTGAGAAGAAATCAAGGGGAGACAATCAAACAGCATTCAACAAAACAATAAAAAAAAAAGATTGAACAAAACACTGATTGCATTCAGGTACTCCGGAAGGGTAGTTAGGTGTTATGATTTCATTCCAAGCCAGGATACTAGTACTCATATTTTCTCAGTATTCCTTTAAAAAAGTCGTGAGGCTAAAGTCCCACCCTCGCTGCCAGTCCAGAAGATCGACACTTATTCCCCTTACATCCAGACTCCTTTACGTATCCACAAAAAAAAAAAAAACAACCGATGACCGAAGAGAACACAAACACCGAGAAAGGAAAACTGTTTACCATATTAATCAACAGGGTCCCGATCATTCTCTTACATAACGCAGGTCTTGTAACCGTCGTGTTGCTCATGTTAAGGAAAATGCAGTGACAAAACAAATTCTGTAATGTCATAAATGAGGGAAGGAAAACGGGATTGTGTTTATGACAGATTGATCATATCTATGGTCAATGACACTTGATTCTTCTATATTGATGCAGCTGTTCAACAAAAAGGTATGGAAATTTTCTCTTGGTTTTTTTTTACTCAGAAGGATAAACTTTAAAAACTAACTGGAATTTGAATACAAAAGAGATAGCTCACACTGTCGATTTGATAACAATTTCACATATAGTCGTTGTTTCAGAATGCTATTCGGTACTATACATTGTTGTTATAGGCAGTTTTGAAACAGCAATGCCAAATTTACAGTTTTCGTGAAATTTGGCATTGAAGGACATTCTAAACCAACTTAAATGTATTTGTATTTGAAATATAAAACATGGTTTTACTTCCAATATAATTTAGGTTTTGGTGAAGAATGGCCTCCTTGTTTATTTTTGTGTGAAATCCTTAATTGTACTATACCATTCTAACAAACATTTTCACATATCAACAGACCCATACAAATATACAACGAAAATCAAATGATGCTCTTTTTGGTTAACCGTCAACTGTACACATGAATTGTGTCATGTCTTATCGCATCATAAGATAATTTAGTCGAGAAGACTGATCTAGTCACGCTTACATCAGATCATCATCGAAAGTCAAAATGAAGGGTTGTCTAGCTCTTCTTTGTCTCCTTCCAATCTGTCTATCGGCTCCACTATCTGGTAAGCACATAAAATCTATATAATGAAGAGAATTTAAAGTTTGAATAGGATTTTCGTTTTGTGAAAATACAAGCCTTGGGTTTCGAATAACTTAGTAAAACTTCATGTTATTAAGAAAGGCAGTCTGTAACTATAAACTTATTTAAAATTTGGAATACAAGTACTAATATTCAAGCAATATTATATTATAAAGTGTCCATACATACTGCTTATTATTGGAGGGAGCGGTCTTTTAAATGATTGTCATTAGAGCAAAAGACGATTGGCTCGTGGTAATATTTCTGATTTCTTACCTCTCATAAATCTATTTGGAATACACTACATATAAATTTTACGATTTCCTACTAAGAGACTTCCAGACTAAAGATAAAAGAAACATACAACTTGTTCGTAAAGATGCAATTATTTCAAACTAGTTTGTAAAATATGGTATTGTGAAAAAATATTTTTACAATGTATTATTGATTGTATAAATATATTCCGATTTAGATGGGACTTTTGACCCGAACGCTCTAAACAAGGATTTTGGTACTGGTGGTTTCGCCGGCAGTGGTGGATTTGGAACTGGCACAGGTGGTAGTTTTAATCCAAACGCTTTGAACCAAAACTTCGGAGGAGGTGGATTCGGCTCCATGTCAACATTTGCCGCATCGACTGTTGCTCCTTCTGGGACAACTGAAACATTTGATCCTAATAAAGTAAACAACTTCGGTAGCGGAACTGGATTTGGAGGAAGTGGTTTCGGTACAGGAAGTGGAAGTGGAACTGGAGGTTTTGGTTCCGGAACTGGTTTCGGTAGTGGTGGAAGTGGAACTGGTACCTTTGACCCGAATAAACTTAATGGTGGTACTGGAAGTGGTACCTTTGATCCAAATAAGCTCAATAGTTTTGGAAAATAAATAAATTAAAGTCATTGTTGTTACATATACATTTAAGATTATTTCATTTTTAAAGTTTGATTAGTTATAATATATTTAACAAGAGGTCATCGACATAAAGTTATGTAGTTCACAAATCAAAAATGAACTGACACACACCCGTTTTAGTTTAGAAACGCTATGGAAAGAATAACAAGTGTAACAACAGGGTAGGCTTCTCAAGATGAAATAACACCATTAGACTTTTGTTTTCGTGCTTGGTTGCTGTGTGTCGTGTTTGTTTTTCGTTTATTGTTTTGTCATAAAAAGGTTCAGGATATTTAATATAGCTAGCTTATTCCGTCTAATTTTTTTTTAGAGAAATGAACGCATGTTATATTCAAACTCATCACAGATACCAAAATTAACATTTTGTACGACAGATGCGCGTTTCGTCTACAAAGACTCATCAGTGACGCTCGAATCAAAAATGTTAAAAAGGCTAAATAAAGTACGAAATTGAAGAGCATTGGAGACCCAAAATTCCGAAAGGTTTTTCCAAATACAGCTTAGTTAATGTTTTGTTAACAGTTTATTTATGATTATGACCATATCAAAGATAAATTTTCAAGTCAACACAGAAGTGCTGACTTCTGGGCTGGTGATATCCTTGGGAAGGAAACCTCCAACAGCAGTGGCATCCACCCATTGATGATCATTGATTCTAAATAAACTCATCATAGATTTCAGGATTGAAATTTTGTACGCCAGACGCACGTTCCAAATAAAGTAGCATCGAGGACCCCAAATTCCGAAAGGTTTTGCCAAATACATCTAAGGTAATCTATTCCTGGGGTAGAAAATCTTTAGTATTTCCTAAAATTCAAATTTGTAATAACAGTTAATTTATAATAATGACCATATCAATGATCATTTAGAAGTGCTGACTACTGGGATGGTGATACCCTCGGAGAGGATACATTCACCAGCAAAGGCATCGACCCAGTGGTTGAAAATAAAACTCATCATAGTATGAGACCTTTTGTCAGCTTCCAAGTAAAACAAATTGGTTAAAATTAAACGTCGCACGGAGTGGCAGATTTCTCATCGAGGGGATGAGACATTTATTGGAAAAGATTAGTTTGCCTACAAGTCTGTCTCAAACTCTGTTCTTAATGGAAACAAGCTAATTTTAAATCAAAATGTGAATAACACATATCGTTACATTATTAAACAAGATGAAATGCTATTGATTACTAATGACCCCCCCCCCCCCCTCCATTATAAGTGTTCAAAACATAGGATTTGAATGAGCACTGGTTATAACACCACCTCACATAATATGATCGTATGAAGCGTGATACCAGGAAGTTCTGATTTGTAGTTCATGAGAAAATTATGACGAACTATTCATATGAAGGCTATCATGTGAAAGAATTTAAAAGTATTTGGTAAACAAGAAGTTGATGAGCAGTGGTTGTCAAAACTCCCCATGTCGTATAGCATTCACAGAAAATTGGCACCCCTCCCCCCCCCCCCAAAAAAAAAAAAGAGTCCATGCTTTGGTATGGAAAACCCCAAAAATAATTAGAACCAAAAATTAGAATGGAAAATGCACATTATGTGGTAAAGGTTCTGAGAAAGTCTTATTAAATTACGACGAGGGATTTTGGAGCAAAAGCGGATATAAATGTGTACTAAAGTGGCAAATAAGAAAAAGTCCCTGTCATCACAAAGCAAACCCATGAAAGCATTCAAATGAAGAAATGAAATAGGATATGTAATTTACATCATGTCAGTAAGTTTCTGTGACAGTTTCACAAAATTTTGACATGCAGTTCTGGAACAGTTGTGGATATAAAAGTGTGATAGAAGAACGAACGAACGAACGGACGGACGGACGGACGGACGGAAGGACAAACGAACAAACTAACAGATGAACGCTCTCCCCGAACACTATATACAGCCCGCTTAAGCAAGCAGGATTATGGTAAAAGAAAAGATGAAAAGGTATGACAAGACAGGAGAATTATGTCATTTTCCTGTAATTTCTGAGTCTAATGGTCGTAATGAGGTAAAAAGTAGGTCAACTGAAACAAAATTCATTCTACATCTGTAATTAATAATGAAAACTATTCAATCTCAAATATAAGTACAATATTGCAGCTGAAAACTGTCATTGCCATGAAATTATTATGTCGCGGGTAGCAGGGCCATAACTAAGTCACAGTAGGTTGATTATACCAAAACACATATAGGTAGTATATGTATGAGCCTCCTCATGGGATTTTTGATTATGTGATTACTTGGCCGTTTTTATAGTGATTATTTGATTACCAGACCAACTATTTCATGATTGTTTGATTATTTGATAATCTAGGACTGTATTTTTTATTATTTGATTATCTAATTTAAAAAAATAATTAATGATTATGTGATTATATTGGCAAAAAAATTGTGATAACTTGGACACCCCCATGAGGGGCCTCATGTATATTGTAACTACAAGTATATATAATTTAAAATTAAAAACAAAACATGAATAACCATTAAAAATTACTATTTTGTCGCGTTTTATCACAAGTCAGTCTAGCTAGCGTCAGTCTATTCATAGTAACGGTGGTAAAGAGTGTTTGCTTGTGGTATCATAGGTTGCAATTTTAAAAATAGACCAAACCATGATGATACTTTGAAAATGGTGGCAGGTATACGAATGAATTTCACAAGACAAATACTATGAGTGATGACTCATTACCTTAAATATGGTCTCTTCAGCTACAAAATGAAAATAACTTTATAAAGTGTGTGCGTCCGAGGCGCTTTTCTTGATTTACCTTCATCAGGAACCCCCAAACCTAAATATTTCAAAGCTAGGCCTGTATAAATATAAATACTAGAAACTATAGAAGCTATCTGACCAAAAGGGACCAGTCCCCTAATATAATAGCTAATTTATCTAAGATGAAGTTTGTCTGTGGGAGTTGGAACCCTTAGTTTCTTTATATTTTTTATTTGTCAAGAGGGTTTTAGAACAGTTATAATACGTATTTAGAACAAACTGTTAAAATAATAAGAACTGGGCATTTAGTAATGCATATCAAATGAAATTTAAAAATACAACAGGTTTCATATAATCTTTAATAACGACTGATAAAAGACAAAAATAACAAATAATTTAATGTGTTGAACACGTGTCTGACTGCGACCTGATGATAATCTCTCTGTCTTATCTGGCAAACGTACCAGCAGGTGGAATTCAACGACGAGACATGTTTGCTAAAATGAATATGTTAATATTATTAACTGTTTTTATTCCAACATGTTATTGTGGTAAGATTATATTTTCTTTATTAAATGCACAAACACAACAATAGAAATATGTTAAAGGGTTCAAATTCATGATCGATTCCCTAAAAGGTTGGTATTTAGTTATTACGTTTTCGATCATAGGCGAAATGTTGGAAAAGGGTGGGGGGGGGGGGGTTGATTTCACTGATTATACCTTCTTGTCGATCTTTAAAATAAGCCTAATAGGTTATATTCATTGACAAGCTGTTTTTAAAATAGATTTCATCAATTTTTTTCTTAATTTTGATAGATCAGTAAACCCAATGCTTTTTTTAATATTAGCTGGTCGAACCCACCATCTAAAATCAAAATCTTCGGAAACTGCCATTAACAAGTCAAGAATATGACAGTTGTTTCCAATTCGTTCCGTTGGTTGATAAAGTCACACGTTTGATTTTGTCAGATATTATGGACTTGCCCTAATTTTAATTTATCTTGAAGTTCCGAATTTTTGTTATAACTTTTTATCAATTGGTCTAACGGCTAAGTGTTTTCTTTTTTCTGGATCTTCGATTTTCTTAAATTGTTTTGGGGTTAGTATATTTGTAGCTTCTTATTCCTTTACATTTTTGAAAATGGTCATTTCTCTTCAGGTAAGCCGAAACTCAGAGAAATAAAAAAAGAAAGCCACCAGAAATAAAAGTTCGATTATCAAATGCAGGCTTAACTATGCATGTTTCTTTTCAAAAAGCGCTGAAAAAACATGTTGTTTTCTTGATCATTTGTCTCTTTTAAATAGTCTTGAATTATGCTTTTGTTTTGCCTGTCATTTTTTTAAACAGTGCTTAATCGAATTTTAATGCTATATGTGTTTGTAACGTGCATTTTGATTTGATAACACTTATATTTCAGGGCATCAATTCCACGATTGATGGTATGAAATTGTTCATGATTTTACAATTATGTTTTCTTTCAGCTGCATATAATTGAGGTACAGTATTTCATTTGAAGATTTGCGGACATCAATTTTTGATATGAAAGTTGCAAATATCCGATAACTTTCACAGCTTACTTTGGAAGTTGCAAATATCTGATAACTTACGCAGCTTACTACATGTCACCTCCATTTCAGACAGCCATGCAGTTTTTGCTCGCTTATCTTAAAATACAAAACTACAAATAGCTGTGGCATATGATTTTTTCTCCAAAATATCATCTAAAAACGAAAAATAACAAACTACTTTTAAGTACTTGTTATAAGGTAGAGTTAACTTTTTTTTGTAATTCTATCCATATACTGTAATATACTATTTTTCTATTTGTAGCTTCCTTGAGCTTATTCAATGCAAATGGCACAGCAAGTTTCAATCCTAGTCAGATGTCAGCTGGTCAGTTTAGTCCAAACTCTGGAGCTGGAACATTTGACCCAAATAAATTAGGAGCTGGATCCTTCAACCCTAATAGTCTTGGATCAGGAAGTTTTAATCCAAACAGTGTCGGATCCGGAAGCTTTAATCCAAACTCTATGGGAGCGGGATCGTTCTCTCCAAATAGTATGGGATCAGGCACATTCGATCCGAACAAGGCCCCATCTGCAAACTTTGATCCAAATAAGTTTGGAAAGAAATAAAAGCATAACATATCATTTGCAATGATGTTTCTTTTATTAACGGTATACGGTAACGGTATATTTCAATCATGGAGTTAAATCCCTCGGTCATTATTGTATGTTTAAGAAACCTGCCATGTTTAGTAGATGAGATCTTACGAACTATTTTCTGCATAAAATCACACTAGGGAAACAATCAAAATCTAAAATTGAATATTTTTACAACTAAAATCAATTGACCATGTACATGGCAAATATCTTACGATTTAAAGAAAAGGATTTTCGTATGCCTTACATGCGTTTTAAGGTAGTTTCAATACATTTATTCCAAATGGTGAAATTTTTTTTTTAATTGTTCTTGGTTTCACCAAATCATACATATTTCTTACACTTACAATAATGTACCATTTTTATAGATATCAACTTCTAAAATCAATTATCTTAAATCGGATTTTGAGTTAAATGTCGCTGATCTCTATTCTTTCCTCCCATCCTCCCTCCCCAAAACTTTTTACTTATATCAGATCTGACAAAGAATATATCTGAAATACGTGAGTAAATAGGACACGATTCCAGAAAAAATCTTAACATCTCAATCTTAACTGAATTAGACTTATCATCGAATTTGTACTAACACGAGCAACACAACGGGTGTCACATGTGGAGCAAGATCTGCTTACCATTTAGGAGCACCTGATGTCATCCCTTGTTTTGTTTAAAAGGGCCTCGTGTTTCTCTTGCTTTAATTTTGAGTGATGTTCTTTGTGTTTTTTTAATTTTTCAATGTCTTTGTTGTTTCTACTGGTCACAATCTTTTCTATCCTACTGTCTTGAAAAACCTGTTACAATTTCACATTTGGCAAAGATTCAGGGTTAGAAAATTTACATGACCGATGGTTTACGAATTTAACGATGTCTTTGGGGCTAGATAAAATCAATTAATTCACTATTGCGTGATGCCTTATCTCTTGATATAACTTATCACTATGTTTTATAGGAGTTACACGACAGTTGTCACATGTGGAACAGGAGCTTTTGCTAACCCTTCCGGAGCAACTGGGGATTTTTGGCAGTGTTCGTATTGCTCAGTCTTCAGTGTTCTATTTTCTGTTTTGTAGACTGTTGTCGTTTTTCGTTTTTTACCATGGCATTGTCAGTTTATCTTCTACTTAAGAGTTTTGATATCCCTTAAGTGTCTTTCTTATCTCGTTAACAGCTGCCAATACGGCGTCGATATCGGTCATTCGGTATATCGAGAAAATTATCGTGAAAGAATAAGTAATAGTGGTAAAGCATTGCGAATGGATCGTGAAAGATCTGGTATAGGATTGTGAATGAAATCTTATCGAGAAGACACATGCAACGTCAGTAAAAAATCTAATTTAATCAATTATAATGACAAATATTGGAAAAATAAAACTGTCTGTCAAATTGGTTCAACATTATGATCAGTATACGAGAAAAATCAATTCTTAAAGTACACCGTTTTTGCAAAACTACAAAAGGCTGATTGCTCATCGAAATTTCAGAGAAATTAAAATGTAAACAAACATGATTTTTTTTTCAAATTTTTCATAGAGGCCCCAAAAAAGACAAGTGTAAAACCATTCAAACAGGAAAACCCGGTCTAATCTATATAAAAAACGAGAATGAGACACACTTATGAACCACATCAACAAACGACAACCACTGAACATCAGGTTCCTGACTTATGACAGGTGCAAACAAATGCAGCGGGTTTAAACGTTTTAATAGGCGCCAACCTTCACCCTACCTTAAACAATAGTGTTACATCACAACATAGAAAGACACACTGTAAAATATCAATTGAAATGGCTTAACTCAATCAAAAGACATATTAACAAAAACACGTGAACATACACTGAACGAATAAATTTGATCTATGACACAATGTAAATACAAAATTAATAAAGCAAGGGGGTTAGATGTAAAACAATATCAGAAAGACGATCATAACCGTTACCTTGGACAAAATGCCGCCCAATAAAATAACGTACACAGGTAAATAAAAATAAGTTTGTTGTAAGGTATACAGTCATGGAGTACGAAAATAAATTTTACAAAATAAATAATTTTGTTGTTCCTAGTACGAGAACAAAAGTGAAAATTTATCGTCATACTAAACACTTAACAAAGATGGTATATATTAAAAATAGTGAGACTAGATATAACACTGAATAAGTAAACATTAAATAACAAAAATACATTACACATTGTATCAACAGGTCAAATTAACACGAAAATACGATTTGAGAGTACTCGCAGTTTAAAAGTAAAAAAAAATTAATAATAAAAAAATCATGCATCAGAGACTAAAATCAACTAAAACACATCCCAGGGATTTAGTGTTTTAACGTCATGGACAGTCAAGGAAGACATGACTTGTGCAAAGCCAAAATAAATGTATCGACAGGCAGTAGGATAGTTAGGAGTTAACCTGTTAATAAATATGTATAATGTAATATATATATATATATATAGATAGATAGAGTAATCTCTATATAGAAAATGAACGTGGATGTGTATTTATACATCCCAAAAATACGTTTGAAAAGAATACAAATTTAGTTATGTTTTAATTTGCTGATGACAAAATCGATATTTGTGCCAAGGTAAACTATATTAAAAGATCTAATTACAACATTGGTAAGATAACCTTTATTAATAAGTTTGTTTAAAGGTTCATACATAAACTACTTTTCTCTTAAAAATATCGTTCAATATTACTATTTGAAATAGTTTTTAAATTTATTTTGATTTAGTCTAATCAAAAACTTTGCAAAAATGGTAATATTTGTAAAAAAATTATATTCCGGATCGTGAAAGATCGAGTACCGTATTTTGATGATCGTGAAAAGGATCGTGAAAGATCTGTTGCCTCTTATTCGTTATTGCACGAAAACGAACAAATCTGTCTTTAAACAAACGATAATTTATATTGGTCACATTCCAATATATCATGACATATTTGAAACTTAATCTTTATGGTGTCAGATAGTCCAGTAAAATATTTTTTTTGTAATTTATATATATATATATATACAAGTCTAAATTGAAAACAACGTTCAAACCTATGATTGCGTTGGGTAAAAACAGCAATTTTAAGAGTGAAAAAATATATTTTAACAAAACGCATTTGACTAACAGGTCGAACAACTGATGTTCTTAAACCCTGCTGTTTGCCATTGACGATTGCCAAACAAATTGATCACAAGGTGTAACAAAATGGATCTCTATATTAATTTAATACCAAGTAGAAAACAATAAACTTGCGGCAAAGATGGTAAACCACAACATGAGGTGCTAAATTTTTTACACCATATCCGGATTTCGACAATTAATGTCTCTTCAGTGATGTTAGGGATCGAAAAGTATTTGGAAGGCCATTTAATTTACCTCAATTTAGGATAGACTCTTGAATTTTAAAGAGTCAAAATAGGATGAACGGATTATATAAACCGGAGGGAAAATATAATACAAGCCCAAACGAAATAAATATAAACAAGTCTAAATTGAAAAAAACGTTCAAACCTATGATATATATATCCATATTTAGACCTGTTTTCATTTAAGAGACAATGCTACATGTAACTAGGCATCCAAGATAATAAGACCTCCAGGAGTGTAAATTGTCGAAAAGTAAATATCTTTGTATATGCATATAATGGTAAATGCATCCACGAATAAATGAAGCGAGAGGAGGTCTGGTCTTCCGCTGAAAATATCTTTATGTGTACGTTTTTGTTTTTGTAAAGAGTAAGGCAAAGAAGCTATCTCATTTGATTTTACATACATGTGTATCGAAGATGTTCTTTTCATTAACAATACAAATTTTCAGTCTGATTGGGTCCAATAAATAGTCATGAACCAGAGATTACAGACACCACATTTACAGCTTCCGTGGCCTCATTTTGGACATATACCCCTATTTTGACTACAGCGGTCATCTCAATACCAGCGTCATTGACAAACGAGATGATTTCAATTATGAAAATTAATTATAATTTTTCCTCATCTTAGCAGATTTACCTACTTCATCAGCGTATGGAGTATATATTTCTCAGTTCATATGATTTTCAGGAGCTTGCATCTGCAACTCAGAGTTTGTAAAATGCTTTCATTGCATGAGCAAAAATTAATGAACCAGGGTTTGGTGAAAGAACGTCTTGTAACGAGTTTCAAAGTTGTGTGCACGATTTTTCAAATTAGTGCGCACCAGATTAAATCTCCGGTAAACGAAAATATTTATATTTACATGACACTTAAGGTGCTCCGTAATTATGCTTTACCATACTGACTGTACTATCAACTACAAACACATTTTGTTGGTGTCTTTGTTTGATCTAATTGTTAATTTAGTGTGTTTGAACGTTTAATTCAGCTGTGTTGTATATCTGTGGTGTATGTTTACACAATTTTGACTGCTGGATCCCAGATATGGCCACGTTAACCAATTAAGTCTATGTGGGTTGCTCACCTAATTTGGTAATATAACCATTAAAGATACAAAACGTGATTTTTTCTTAATGGTTCGCTAGGATTTTGTCGCCTTTTGTGTTTTCTTAAAAAGTACTTGGTGCATAGTATTATTAAAGAAGTTGAATCATTTTGACAGACATATATTTTTTTTCTAATTTGTTGTTCCACCTTATAATTACATTACATGTATGTTTCATTATAATACGTTATTTTGATTGTCTAACAGCAATCTCGCGTCTGAAATGCACTTTGGTCAACGCTTTTTGTAAATTTATTGGGGTGTAAAAGCGTTGACCGAAGTACATTTTGTATGAAGCGCGGAAGCGCTTCATTCTAAAAATGTGCGCACGGTCAACTCTTTTACAACCCTATGAAATTACTAAAAGAAGCATTCAATACTTCAATTACATTTTTTTGCTAGGATCATGAAAACACGATTTCTATCAAGTTTTTCTTTTATTTACCTGTGCACTTTATTGTAGAAGCTCGTGTCGTTACATTTCATTTTGAAATTTTGAAATGAAGGTTAATTTCAGAATGACG